AAAAAGTTTAACTTTTCATATAGGCGTTTAATTAGCGCAAACGTTGCTCAGTTAAAAAGTGAGGTGGTAAAGCTAGGAGTGCTTTGATTTATGTTGCAAGTTTTGGATTTTTTTCGAAACACAGAAAATAGAAAAATAAATTTATTACTTTCATCTCCGGAGCTTGCTTTTGTCAAATGATACTTTAGGTGATATTAGAAAAACGTGAGTTCTTCTTTTGAGTAGGAAGAATACGTAAATCGGTCGAGAGAGAAGGGACTTATGAAATGGTGCGATTGTCCTGCTAACCTGATATCTTATTTATGATCTGCGAGAGAAGAGGAAGCAATATTTGTTTGCTCAAAAATTATCCTGCAATTCGAGTGTATTGCTTTATGCGAATTTGATAGATCAGTAAGGTTGTCTTGAACAGGCACCCAGTAAATTTCAATTGAATTGGTTACTAAAAAATTCGTTAAGAAGCTGTGTTGGAGATGTCCATATCAAGTTGTTTCGTATGTTTATTTTACATTTGGCAGAAAAAACCTTCATATTTTCTTTAACGGGATTACACATTTTCAAATCACGCCGAATATGGAATTTTGTATCTACGTGTCACACACGATAAATACAATTTTTGAATTTTTTGAGATTTTTTCGGATTATTTTTCGCGAATTCAACTCGGGTTATTGAACGGCTCAAACTTTTGAATCGCTTTATTTATAGCTAACTCTACCATTCATTGGAAGTCCATTGAAAATTTAAAAAGATGAAAGAAGAATGTTAAATTTTTAAATCAAGAAAATTTTGAAGGTGAATGTTGAATGAATTTATATCCACTGTGATTCATGTCTGTGTGGGCGAAAATGATGCCAATGTTTAGCCCGTTATCCCTTCTTTATATATGCCAGATATGAGATTTTCCGAATTTTCTAGGGTTTTCCAGAGGATGATGACGAAAGTATAATAAAACTTATGTAACAACCTAATATATTCTTGATTTTTTGTAATTGCACACTTTTTGAGGGAGTGACGGCCAAAGACTGAAGCAATCTCAACCCCAATCTCAGATCCCATAAAGGGTGAATGCGTCATTTCCTATTATATCGTTTCTTACCCTTTGTCCATGTTTAGATATGTTCGGATTACCACCTATTTATCCCAGCTGTGTCACTCGACTCCGTTAAAAACGCTTTCACCTTTGAAAAAATAATAGTGTTGTACTATAACATGGAGTTCGAATACATATAGCCTCGATGTTATGAAAATATAATATTATGATATAGAAATTTATGTTGGTGTTTGTTGAAATTTTTGGCGGAAAGATGTTAAGCCATTAAAATATATAGAGCAGTGCAAATACTCGATAATCCTCCACCTCAATGCTTCATGCATGGATTCCATGTACTTTTGTTTTCTACTGAAAAAAAGTGAAAGCCAATGGACCGAAGGTTAGCATAGTGCGATGAAACCTTGGGATTACATTTGAATATTTGCCACAACTCATAACTTTGATTTTGCTAATCCCTGTGCCATACCAATAAATCCACATAATCCAAGTTGAATTTCTGCTGAATTATGACGTCTATTTTTCAGAACTACTACTGATCTCCAAGGAAACAGATTTCATAATCGAGGTTAAACTAAAATCGAGTTTGCCCCCAGCGCTTAAACTGCGCTCTGAAATCTCTTTTTGTGCGTTTCTAAAAAAATAAATTAGTTCGGTCTGCTTATCCCTCCATATAAATGAAGAAAATTGCATATCTTGCTCTTTTTGTAGTCGTATAATTTACTGCCAACGGGCATGCATAATTAAAGTCTGCTTGCATCTTTGCACTTCTGAATTTTATATCTGAATTTTACTCCCTTATTACTGCTTTGTAAGATCATAAATGTAGGAGGATACTGTTGCATTCCTCAATAGCTATTAGATGTCGAAAAACTGGCAAAAATTATTTCCAAAAATAACTTCAAAAGTAATTATCACTGTTTCAGATCCAATCAGCTCTTTACCTATCCAAATTGCGGTTTTATTTCGAAGAGAAATGTGTATTATTGCGTCTTCATTTCTGAAAATGCAAAATATTGACTATATCCTCTTTGCGCCTGGTCATCTCCTTGATTGCCTCAGTTTTGCTCATTTAGCGGCTAGCAATCTATGGTATAATCTGCTCGTCTCGAAATTATTGAGTACCATAGAAATAGACCAAGTAAACAATTGTACGCTTTTGCTATAGCTCAGGTATAGTCGCGCTAACCAAACAAATCTCAAAGCTTGATCTCAAATAAATACTGCTCGGTCCACTCAAAACAAATATACAAAGACCTCAGCTGACGTACTATACAAGTAAATTAGGGAGGCATAATTATGCACTCTCTCTTCATTATTCTCTTCCGTTACTTATTCGTCTGAAGATGTTCTAGAGGTGCACCTGTGCCCAATCATATTCACTTTGTGAGATATGCATAATTATACTATCTAAAAGTGTGCCAATGAATAGCATGAGAAGAAACGATAAACAACGTTTAAACCTTGTCGTCTCCTAATTTATTGACAGATTTTCTTTGCTAAACTGCAATCCTAATTCATCAAGTCTTCAAATGAGAATTCTGCTAGAGTACTGTACAAAATCGCTCAAATCATTGAAAAAGGACGAGCTTTCCACTGGGGCATTTGCCCCGCAGTGCCATATCTCTTCGAAGGACGGTCACCTCCAATTGCACCAATGAACCCATTTTGAAGACTCGCATTCCTCAGAATTTCTATCTTGTTCTGTAAATTATAGTGTCACTAGCAGCTGTATTTATATGCACGAGTAGTTATATATCAGCGCAGTGAGTAGCTCATCTGAGCAAAAATCTGTGAGGATTCGAGTGTGGCTGGCGCAGAAATTTTGTCGCGCCGTTTTTTAAAATCGTAATTTTCGATCAATTAGAAAGAACCATATTCCTTGCGAAAGAGCCTTTGCGGCTTTTCTGTAGGGGGTAGCCTTCAGACTGAAGAATTAGAATGAAATCCCAACTTTCTCATATCATATTAAGTCGGGCTTTGAAAAGTCTGAAACTTGCAGTAAATTAAAAGCAAGCTGCAATAAAAGCTTTTTTATTCATTTTTCCCACAGTGCAGAGCTTGTATCAATAGAACATCTTTGTGAAAAGTTATAATTTCGGAAAAATTTCCAAAAAAAATCAAATCTGCGGTTTTGTACTGTTTGCCCAAAAATCGTAATTCTTCACGAAGCGCACGTTTAACGCAAACCTTGCGCAAATGGAAGGGATGAACAAGATATCAGAACACTCACTTTACTTTTTGCTCCGAATTTTATCGCAAGTTTTATAATTTTAACGACCTAGCTAGAAATGAACGAAGCTGAAGTGGTTGTAATCTCCTGCTGCTTACCCATTATTGAAGAGCAGCAAAAGTGCCAGCACAAAGAACATAATTTCTTCTACCTAGTAAATTCAAGTTTATGCAAATCGTAGAGTGAGCAGGCTTATAATTTTTCAAAAAATGGTGCTACGGAACTTTTGCACTAACCTATTATTTACCATATACCACTCGCGAAGTTTGAGCAGTGTATCTTAGACTAAGTCAAATTTTTACCAAGGTTGTATTGTCCACATTTTCATAAATAATTTGCTTATTCGAATTATCATCCATTTTGAATTGAATTCGTAAGAGAACTGCTTTGCACACATTGAACAAGTACGACTTGTTTTATCCTGTTTTCATATAGCAAATAATCCTTTATTAGATAAATCATTAGTATATAAGCTTATTAACTAATTTGTGAAATTTTTTTGAAACCCATTATATATCTCCTTGAAATCTCTGCTCCATGACACGCAGCTTACAGACACAGATTGTCAAAGCGCAGTTTTGTTTTGGTACCCCTCTTTTTTGGTTGTATGGGAAAGATTCTCGTGGCCAATAAGTATCACACTATATGCTTCTGCCATGATCTCGCTTCAGGGGATTTGCGAATTTATTAGTGATTGCCATAATATGAGTGCTAATCCTTACGCGGAGCATTCATACGAAATGCGCAGTTTTGCCATTTTTGCCATGAACACTGAAAGAGTTCCAAAGTCTGGTTATTTCCTTTGTGTTCATTGTAAGGTCGAATATCTGCAATAGCAAAATATCTGTTCATTTCTGCAGAGATGAGATCTTGAAAAATGCATCATACCTCGTAAATGTGATTGCTCCAAAATGCATAAAACCTAGGCAAATAGTCCTTAAGCGCTAAATTAACAGAAAACAATCAAATTGTGAAAATAATTTTCCATTTGGCTGGCTTTGTATCACCATCAAAAAAGAATGTTCAGAATTAGAGTAACTGCAAGTGCAGTTCAGCTTTATGCAAGTCCAGGAATTACATTTGGGGTCGCAGGTTGTCGAAACTATATGCATTTAGTACTTCCCTGATGCTAGTTTATTTTCAGCCGCAGTATCCATGATTGACGTCATTTAGCATGTTACACGGCCTACGTATGAAGTCACTTAGCCATTAACTGATATTGCTTGAATGTTAGTCTTGTGTTTCATTTGTACAAAAAAAGGTGTGCTTTACATCGAGCAAGGAGTCGCGAAATAATGTGCAGGCGGCGGCGCAGTAGCAAAGGAATTGGTGCAATAATTCATCAAAAAAATTTCAAGCGCAAGTTGATATCTATTCCAGTGTGATGTACGACGCGAGCATGAGCTTTTCTTAGTGTTATTTATGAGTTTATTTGCTATCTCCATGATTCTGATTCCTCGCCTGGACTCCGCCTTTGCGTAACACACCTCGCCCCCCCCCCCTCCATCAATGTTTTCGCTAACCAATCAAACGTAAAGACTGCATTCGAAATGCTCATGTCGGGGCTGAACATGCGCCAAAACCTCCGACACAATAACCTTCATTTCCACTTATGCATTGCCTAAATATACTGGCTCCACGTGATTGTTGTCGTGAGATGGTTTAGCATTGACGTTTTTACGGTGAAATTTATCGCTTTTAGAGGTTTTTGTAAGCTTTTGCCAATTAGGAAGATGGCTGCGAATTTTTCGCATGTGTGCCTGACAGAAAAGCAGCAGATGATGAATGGAACTCCTCTGGAATATAATCTGCAAAGGTTTGTATACATTTCGTTTTTTTGGGATCTATCCGTGCTACATATCTACTGTATTCTTGATTTGTAAAGTATTATGATTTCAGATACGTCTACCCAGCCATTGCCGTATTCGGCATACTAGGAAATGTGCTGAACTTATCTGTACTTTTAGACAAAAGCATGCGAAGCAGGTAATAGTCTTGCTACCGTAACCCATCGGATCGTCTATAAATCTTGCATTGAAAACACCAACAAAGCTTGTAAGCTCAAAGCCGCCTTTCTAAATGAAAAGTACACCATATTAGAGGGCTTAGACCGCTAAATCCAAAACTGCCTTCCTTATCTGCAGAACGTTTATGGACGAGCAGTTATGAGCGTTTTTTTAGAAAAAATTGAATCTGCATTTTGGATAGAGTGAGTTGCTAAAATCTTGCTAGCCCTCAAATAATGGCAGTTTATAAATTTATTTTAGAGTATTTTTAAGTGCTCTGTTTGTAGTACTTGCACATTTGAATAAGCGCTCATAACTTCTTATTTGTAAAAAACATCCATTCAGTACCTTATTCCGAAAAAGATGCGTCGACAGCCCAGAAGTAGGGCTAAAAGGACCAACATCTATTTTCGCTCCAATCACCAAGAGAAACGCGTAATTTTGTATCTTTGAAGTATATCAAAACATATCTGCGAAATCGAAAAAAAATCGGATTTTTGGCATTTTTTAGCATTTTTGGCAGGTCCTAATACAATTGTAAAATCTCAGCTTTAAGCTTACTTCTGTGCAGATGTGTTTCAGTTCATCCTCTTTCAAACAATCATCCCCAAATGTTCCTCGTACCTTATTTGTCATCCGATCTCAAGAACTCTAAGGGCGTCATAAATGGACGAAATATTAGCTATAGTGCGTGCAGTAATTCACTCATAAGTCCTAATCATTACCAAGAACTCATTCTCCATTGTTTTCATATTGGTTCCTCTCAGATCAAAGGTTCTCTCACATGGTTGGAATGAGGAAATTACATCTCGCATCAATCACTTTGGAGAGAATGAAATTACGTTTCAATAGAGAATCGGTGTCATGTCATGAAAATATGTTTCAATCTGGTAATATAGTTATTTGCACTTTAGTGCTTTAGGATAGTTATGTGAATGGCTCATAAAATTCCTAGGATTCTCTTGCTGACAGGGATCTGAATAAATTCGACAGATGCTCCAAGTTCCCTATCCAATTTGTGCCGTCCAGGCATTGAAGAGCGCATCCGAGCACACTTTTAAAATGCACAGATTGGAAATAATTGATAAACCCCAAATTGTAGAATGTTTTATGTGCAATCGCACATACTGCCATCTGAACTGTTCTAAAGTATCCATTAGCGAGCAAAGTGGCTGAGAAAATTCTTATATTTAATGGAAACAAAAAAAAGAAAATCGCGTGTTTGAACTTCCAACAACTGCGTCTTAAATTCTGAATTTGATACAGATATATTTTCAGGGCAAACACCTTCTTAGCAACGCTGGCATTTGCGGACATCATATTCTTGTCCCTACTCTTTCCCAATATACTGGCTAACTACTCATTTTTCACTTTCAATTATTATTTTCGATATTTCTACTTCAATACGAAAGTCCATCTCATTTCGCTAGCGAACTGGTGCTCAGCTGTGGCAATTTGGTAAGTTTTTTTCTTGTAAAACTTTTTAACCTACCTTTTTTTTCAAAGTTTGCCAACATTTCACATCGAGATGGTCGATTTACTAGCAAGTCGTTAACTAGCTACTGGTATATGGAAGCAGCTTCCAGCAAAGCGACTACATTTCATGCTCTATTAAGCCGCAAATAATTCGATAGAGTATTCTGTTTCCACGAGCGCTGCTTTGACATGCAATTTGAACAAAAAACTGGTTTTCCATTTCTTAAAGTAGAAGGAAAGTACTGAATTATGGCGACATGATGTTGAACTGATGAACGCTCAGATGATGACTGAAAACTATTATATTAGAATGATCTCAAATGGTCTTGAATGCCAATTCTGAGAAAATGTGAAGTAGCTCATTTAAAAATACATTCTATTTAGGTGCGTGATAGTAGTATGTGGCGATCGTCTAGTTGGAATACGAAGTCCTCTATATGCTAGGTCGGCTTGGTCTTGGTGGTAGGTGAACTACATTTTTCAAGCGGTCATCATAATGATTCCTAGTGGGATGAACATATGCACAAAACTATTAGGCTGTCCGGAAATTAATGCCCGTTTTGAATTTCAACCGCAATAAGTCATACACTTCTCATTTCTGGATAGGTTGCAAAATCGTTCAATAGAGCAAAGCAAGCTCTACAAGATGGTGAACTTGCTTTGGCAGCAGCTTTGATACACCCAGAGTTTTGAGCCAAAAACTAAAAAGATTCAGCTGCCCGAAAAATAAAAGATTCAGCTGCCCGAAAAATCGAGAAAAACCGTAATCAGTTTATAAAAATTCTACAAAAATCCTAACTTGCTCACGTGGACACTATCAACTTAAGACATCTATATACGCCGTTGCCGCACTTTTTCCTTTGTTAGAAATCAAGAAAACGGAAATTTCCATGCATTTGCTAAAGTAATGCAGTGCTGCCCCACATAGGTAGATGTATAATATGAACTTGTAGAAATACAAACGTGAATTTTCAGCTCTCTACAAGCTTTAGTTCTCGAGAAATATCGAATGTAGCTTTCCCTATTCAGGTGCTCCAAGCCAAATTCATTTCTGGGGAACAAAAGCTTGTAGGGAGCTGAAAATTTACGATTATACTTCTACAGGTTTGTAGTATACAACTACCTATGTGCGGACGGCACAGCATCACTTTGGCAGATGCACGAAAATTTCCGTTTTCTTGATTTCTGATGACGGAAAAATTACGGCAACGGCAGATGTAGATGTCTTATGTGGTTAGTGTCTACGTGACAAGTTAGAATTTTTGTATGATTTTTATAAAGTGAGTTATGATTTTTTTCAATTTTTCAGGCAGCTGAATCTTTTTAGTTTTTGGCTTAAAACTCTAGGTATATCAAAGCTACTGCCAAAGCAAGTTCACCATCTTGTAGAGCTTGCTTTGCTCTATCGAATGATTTTGCAGCCTATTCAGAAATGAGAAGATGACTTATTGCGGTTGAAATTCAAAACGGGCATTAATTTCCGGACAACCTAATAGTAAACTAGTAGAGCTTGAAATAACAAAAAGTTGCAAGCAGTGTTCCATAGGTCCTTGTTTGATTGGTTTCTTTTTGAGTGCATAAAGCAAAATTGCAAAATTTCCTGTTCGCAGCTGACATGAGTTCCTACTATAGAATTTGTTCGAATCATCACACAAGATTTACAAGAGCAGCTTAATTGAAACTTGCACATTCTTCTGAGGTCTGAGAAATGATGACAGATAGGATGTAAACGTAATGAAAGTATTGATTAAAATGCCTATGTCCTTCACATATCAGTTGCATATCAGTTGCCTCCTGTAGTTGCATTGCAGTTGCACACGGAACTGCTGTTATCTCTGTTGAACTGTGCCGCAAAATTGTTGCTGCGTTCTCGTTGCTTTGCCTCTTCAGTCCGCTTGACGACTTCACCTCAGTTGCATAAGGGGCCGGGCATACTTCACGCGATTTCAGTCGCGACGCGACTTGATTATTCCAACTGTCCATAACTCACCGTAAGGCCCCGGGCAGACTTCACGCGATTTGATCGTCGCGACTGAATTGCGACGAGACAACTGTTACAACATCATTCCGTGTCGATCAACTTGCATTCGGTTGTAATACTTTTCCAGCCCGAAATTTTTGAATGTGAAATGAAAATGAATGGAAATCTTGGCGATTAGGTCGCGACGATTAAGTCGCGTGAAGTCTGTCCGGGGCCTAAGCACATTTCAAATGTACTGAAGTTAAGTCATTTTGTCAATTCACATAAGTGATACACACTATACATGTGCAGTTTGCTAGCGTTGGATCTGAAGACTTCTGGCGAATTGCCAAATCGCGCCGCGACTGAAATCGCGTGAAGTATGCCTGGCCCTTAATATAGATGCACTGAGTGCTTACTCTGAACAGCACCTAGTATGTCTGTCGATGTGCAAGTAAAATGCTGTTGCGTTCTGGATGCATCACCTTTAAAGGCAGCATCCAGGCAAGATCCATCCACCCAGATTAGCACATAGTTGTAAAGAGGGGCCCATGAGTATTCGATCTGCGTTGGTCCAATCCTTTGACGTGCCCTCTAAAAGGAGATACGGGCCTGTGATACGTATCACAAGCCGCCCCCTCGTATCACAGAGCACCCTTGAGGACGAGTGCTTACGCAGGTGTGCGGTTGCATTGCAGTTGCATTGCACACTACAGTGTAACTGCATCCGTGCAGTTGCAGCTCCTTCCGCTGGCATGACGATGGGGGCGAGCAATTTAAAACTCGTCCGCTCCTTGAAGAGAGGGTCCCCAAGAACCGGGTTTTTTGGGAGTTTTGAACAAATTTGGGCTTTACAACTTAGTCAGGGCCGCGGAAAGGCCCCAGAATGGCAGAAACATGAGGGGCGAAATTTTGCCCGGACGCTGCCTTTAATCTGTTCACAACGGTTGCGTTTCAGTCGCATACGCAATTACATTTTAGGTGCATACGGTGAGCTCTGGAGTTTTGTTGCATTCTGCATGCACCCCGTAGATGCTCACTTTCAATTGCGTTCCAGTTGCGTCCGTTGTTGCATGTTAGGTGCATACACTAACCTTAATCCGAGTAGAGATCTAGAATGTTCGTGCATATTCGCTGTATCTCCTATCTTTTGTCCACTCACAGTTGTATTCCAGTTGCACACTCAGTTGCATTTTAGGTGCGTACGGTGAACCGCAATCTGTGTCGAGGTGCATCTAGAATGTTGTTGCGTTTTGGATGCATTGCTCACTTTTGTCCACCTATAGTTGCCTCCAGTTGCATAAGCAGTTGTAGTCTAGTTGCATACGGTCTCTTCAATCTGAGTATTCTGGGTGTATCTCCTATCTTCTATCCACTTACAGTTGCACAACCCAGTTGCATTTTAGGTTCATACAATGAACGACAATATGAGCCGAGCTATATTTAAAATGTTGTTGCGTTTTGGATGCCGCCATCTTTTGTACACCTATAGTTGCATGTCAGTTGCATACGCAGTTGCATTACACGTGCATGCGACAATCTCAATCCGTCCGTGTCTAGGTGCATTTAGAATGTTCTCGCATTCTGGGTGCATATCCTATCTTCTGTCCACTTACAGATGCATTGCATGCGCAGTGGCATTTTAGGTACCCTTGATAACAACCCGTATTTCTTCCCTCAACATGACGTGGATTACGTGGATTGGTAAGGCTTCGCCTCGCTTCGGGCTTGCACCTCGTTGCGGGATCATCGTTTGGCGTAACGTGGCGCAGGCGTTCCCACGTTGTTCTCGTTGACAAACCACGTCAAAGATGCGCAAGCAAGTGGCGCAAGCCTGAAGCGGGTGGCGCCTCAGCAATTCACGTAATATACGTCATGTTGAGGGAAGAAAATGGGTTAATATCGAGGGTACATACCTTGCCATTCTGGGTCGGGGTGCATCCAGAACGTTGTCTGCTGTTGTGCCTCGCTGCCATCTCAAACTTGTAGTTGCATCCTTGTCGCATACATAGCTGTATTCTCGGTGCGTAGGTAAGCGATAGTTATAATAGTTTCTGACGAGGTGCACTTAGAATGTTGTTGCATTCTTGATTCGTCGCCTCTCTATTGTCGACTTATAATCGCCTTCCATATAACTCGCTAGTGATCAGAAACCCTAAAGATTATTGAAATCTAGTCATGACTCGTTAGCCATTGTCGCCCAAATTGCCAAAGATACTGTCTAGAGTGGCATAGCCATGATGCCATAAAGCGCTGTCATTTGGTTTGAAGTGCTATGGTGCTAGCTCGCCGTTACTCATATCAGAACTAAATTTTGCAAATTTTAGCACAGCATTTTTTTACAGGAAACTTCCAGCTGTAATAATATGCATCGTTGCCGTTACTGGTTTGCTGACTTTTTACCAACATTTCGAATACTACTGCCTTGTACGCTCATATTGCAACGAGACTCAGCTTTATTCCAGATGTCTACCGGTCTATAGCGAGTGAGTATCGAATTTTTGGATAAATTTGATGTTTGATATCGCCACCACCATACATAGGTAGAAAAAGATTGCTTTTCATTTTTACCGCTGACGATGTATTCTGCATGAAAAGTCAAAAATGAAGTTTTTTCTTCTCTTCCCTTCACATCAGCAAATATCATACTTATTTGTATCACAATTCCAACCAAAACTTTGAGCAGTCAAGATTGTTGTCCTTTATGTTAGAGTTGGCAAACAATCCACCGTCGGCAGCTTTCTAGCTACCTTCTTATTCTTTTCGTCAACTTCCTCCTTCATTCTCGCTTTTACGCTGTCAAAAATTGAGAGAAGAAATTGAAGCCAACGTAACAAAATGTTTGCTTCGCTCTAGTGTAGTTCTGTTGCAAAATACGAAAATTTATAGCACATGGTTTGGAAATCGACCAAATCCATTTTCTCTTGCATTTCAACAAAGCATTTCTTTATGCGTGCTGATTTATGTGCTGACCATGATCATTCTACCTATTATTCTTCTAACCGTGCTTAATCTTATGTTACTTTGCGCACTACGCAGACGACAGAAGCATCTCGCAATTGCCAGTGATGTGGCGGAAAGGTGATCTGTTCAGATGTCAACTTCTGGTTGATGATGTTTGAATTATTCATCCTTATAGACGTACCAATGAAAATCAGATGCAGAAGACCGAACAACGAGTCACATTGACAGTAACTTTCATAGTTACAATGTTCACTTTGACGAATGGTCCGTCAGCACTAGCGCAATTAGTCCGGACTGCTTATAACCTTCCCCAGGAGGACCTATATGACCTCACTATGATTTGCAGGTTTGAATGAATTTTTTTGCTTTGATAATGCTAAACCTATCCCATGTTTTAGTACCCTTGTAATCTGTGGAAAAGCTTCAAACTTCATTCTGTTTTGCCTCGGTTCACGCCACTTCAGACTGCGGCTGACTCGGCTCGCACAAAGAAAAATGCATGGGAAAATCGGTCAGTTAATCTCAGGTTTATGGGCTCTTCTTGCCTGTAGGATTAGATTGTACTTTTGGAGATGCAAGGTAAGTAATGAAATCCAGGTCGAGTAACAGGGCTACCAGCAAGACTACCATATCTTCACAGCATTGTACAGTATTTGTGCAATGATTCCACTTCTACTGTTTTTCGGGAAGGTATAACGCTCGAAATATTGTAATTGCACTGCAGTCCTAATATAGATAGACTTCTGTTATTTCACTTTGCATAACATAGCCTCTTAAGGAGCTTCATTCTATCACCCTTAAGAGCAGAATCTTTTCAAGAAGTCTCCAGGAAAATCTGGTTACGAGATTTTTTCATATGTAAGATCAGGCGCCGTTCGTCGCTCAAGCGGCGGCTAATATGATCCATTCGTGCCAAAGGAAATCGATGTTAAACTCCAATCGTGTTTTTTATTAGGAACACTGGTTGTTTCTTGATAAGAGCACGGATCAAAGCCATTGCCTAGCAAATCTGGGCGCATGGGTTTTTGGGTGTGGAAACTGATGAGGGAGCCATAACTAAGGCACTGCCCGGCAGCGCAAATTATCCATTCGCGGCTGAGAAGTCCGTCCTCAAACCCCTTCGCGCCTGCGCCGTGATCGTAACCCGAAAATGACTTCGCCCACTTCAAGACTACCGTGCTGGGATCCGTCCTAAGCCTTTCGCTAGTTACTCACGGCACAGGTGCGGAGGGTTTGGGGACGAATTTTTCGGCCGTGAATGAATCATTTGTTCTGCCAGGCAGTGCCTTAGTTATGGCTTCCTCAACAATTTCCAGACGAAAAACCATGCTCCCAAATTTGGGACGCTACTTTTGAGTTGGGGTTTACGGTTGAATTAGCCATAAATGAATGTGTGCGTTTGCCCTCAGCCATTACATCAGTTACCCAGATTTGTCTGGACACTTCGAGCTTCGTTTATTTCCATGCTGAAGAACAGAATTTCCTTACAGAATCGCTCTCCGGCACCCTTTTGACGAATTCAGTAGGACGAGTTTTCACAGCGGATAGGAGACAAAGCTGTCCCCTGAAGAAAACTAGCGGCGTTGAAACTCCGTCGAAATTGAGGAATCTGAGCACAGCTGGTATTTATCGCCCACTAGTCCAAGATATGTCCAAAGACTACGAAGGACAATGCTAACGATGTTTCACAACTTGAAACTATGATTTCGAGGATGAAGATCCTTTCGCATGCGAAACGCTCTGAGAATAATTCCATACAGGGCCGCTGTCGAGCGCAGGATTTGCTTTGCAGCTACGATAGTCCAGTACCGTGCAAAACGGCCTCTCCTAAGTTTTGACTCGCAGATCTGCATTTTCTTCCTGCCGGGTTTTCGTCTCAAATGCGATTTGTTTTTGTTTCCTTCTTGCAAAAATTTATTTCAGATTTAAGGTGATGTTTGTGCAACGCTTGATGCTAATTCTAGTCACAAATACATGTAATTCATAATTCTCGCAATTCTTCATTTGTACAACGTAACCAGGTTCATATCCCATCAAATGCGTGGTCAACAGAACATATGATCTCAAATGATTTTTTTCCCATTTTGTTTTCTTCGTTCCTATTTCCTAACCGTTTCTATCATTGGAGAATAAAACAAATTCATCTGTTTGTTAACAAGGGCATCGGTTGAGGGATTGCATTTGCCAAAGTTACTCCAACGAGATCTCTGACACTGTCGATAATTTTTCCTAGCATGTTGCCCAATTCATAGCCAAGACCATAGGGGGGCGTTTGAGGTAATGGTGGTCCAGGTGGACTGAAAAAAAGTGATTTTAAGATGTGGCAGAAAAACTTTACGGAACGGTATTTATCAATCTCCCACATCTGTTCGGCCCATTATTAACGAGTGCCTGGAGAGCTGAGAGAGCCATTCCATAATTTATGAAAGTATGGGGCGCGCGGTGCAAACGGGTAGCAGAGACCTGCCGTGCCCGACATGGCCATACATGTCAAATCGGAACATTTTTTCAAAAAGATAGGAGCTCAATCACAGCTTGGCTTCGTGTTCTCGGTTCGCGCCAGGCCCACGCCTATACGGCTGCGACTTGTACAGGAACCCCTTCTCATATAGGAGATTGATGGATACCGCCCAGGATTCACGTTTTATACTAACCGTAGAGCTCTGGGAATGTTGTTTTGCGTACCGGTAATCGTAGGTTGAATCAGCGGACTCTGTAACTGTAGCCTCTGAGCAAAAGATTAAATTATACCTTAAAAGATTTTGAGAAAGTTGAAGGCATTTATGGACTGCAATTCATTACAAATTTCTTTGGCAAACTCACAAACAATGGAGTAGGTGCCATCATTGGGCTTCCTCCTCCGCCTACATCTTGGCTTGGAGTCATTGTGGGCATATTTCTAGAATTTGCGATTTGCTGTTGTACATTTGGAAGCAGACGAAAATAACCGACATTATTGTTTTGGTTGTGGTAAATTCCTTTTTGAAACTGTCCTTTCCAATTGGCACGAATTCATATTCCTTGTCTGGATTCGTGGAAGCTCCAAGAAGCACTGAAACGCGAATCACGCTTTCTATGTCATAGGTCTCAATACGTATAAAAGACACAAGTGATACGTTTTCTGCACCTTGCAGCTCGTTATGAATTTCAGCCAATGCTTTGTCGCTACTACTGCTTAGTTTCATAGTGCAATTGAATCTTCCCTTTTCTATTAACACTTGAATGCCTAATTTTGACATTTAAAGCGTTAAGCGCAACTGGTTCTGTCTGGCAAGTGATTGTTACCCCATCGTGTTAATGTGTCCAACAATCGCTTTCTGTTAAATAACAGGAACTACTTCTAATGAGGAAAGATGCGTTTGCATTGGGGTTGCACGAGAATTGCAAGGAGTGAATTTAGCTTTTGTGAGAACTTCAATTTTTTTCAACTGCAGCGCAAACATTTAAGGGGTACATCAGAGGTGTGAAATAAAAGAAGTAAATTAGAGTTGAAAATGTACATGCTCTTCTCGGCCAAACAAATTAAAACTTGCAGACTCTATGGAGTTAGACCTTTTTTTGTCACTAGTGAAGAGCAAATGTTCGTATCAAATTTTTGCGTGTAGGCATCTTGATAAGTTTCCATGTAACTTTAGCTGGATTCATTTTTTTTTCAAAAAAAGGTACATCAGTTCCTTGAACTGTACTCCAAGACATTTCAGAGTATTTTTCGAGAAACTTGTCTGAAAATTTTGGCAGACAACGGTAATATTATAGCCAATCTAATAATAACAAAGCTTCATTTCATCATAGTTCACTATGGTGACTAACGTGCAAGACTGGTGAAAATGAAAACGCCTCGCCGCGCAGAACTCTTTTCTGTGGTACCATTGACTAGTTCTACTTACCACTCTAGTCTTCCTTCAACTTTCTTCCTAACATTCGAGTCAGGAAGTCGTTAATTGAATTTGAATGATGAGTCTCTGAAGTTGTGCTGTGATGAACTAGATGCATCAGAACTTTTGCAGGCGTTTTTTGTACCAGCAAGCATAATTACAATGCTTCAATTCAATACGAATCGCAGACCTCGACAAATGAAACCGAAGTACAAGAAGCATCACAGCTTTTCCACTGTTTGCGATAAATTCTTGTGAATAAAAATCTTCATGACCCATGACTAGGATGGCGCAGTAATGGTTAAACTCGACTTAGAAACGAGTTCACTAATTGCTCATGGTGTCCATTTGTCAGCTATGATGGGCAATAAAAACTCTCTTGCATGCACCGTGTTCGTGAAACGTCGGACACAGTATTACTTTCATCAAGTTTCGGCAGTGAACCATTCTATCAATGCGTAATCGCGAAAAACTTTGAAAATTAGAACTACACTTCTATCTGCTGATTGAATGCTAAAAAAAATTTGCATTCATTTCGCTTATATGTACTTATATGTATCTTTGTTATCATTACATCAAGAAAGACAATGACTAGTAGAACATGGGCAGTGCAAAAGAGTCTGTTTTGTGCCCAAACAACAACCTGAGCTAGCAGTGGCTCGCGGCAGTTTCCAAAAATTTTTATGGATATCTATTTTTATCTAGTTTCTTGCAAATGAAAAGGTCGTTCCATAAACAACTTTAGAACTTGAAGGTACGGCTTTTTTGCAAATGTCTGTGTCACAAAAGCAGCTGCAAAAAATAAATAGTGTTCAAAATCAAAGGTTGTGAAAAATTGTTGCTGTCAATGGGTCGATTCAAACAAACTTGACAAACATGCTGCCTGCTAACTAATCATGGCCATAAGCCTACAGTGAAGTTCACGATGCGAGTAGCCATTATATATCTCAAATGCGTTGCATTTATTATGTTTCTCTTCCCTGTCAGATTTTTGAAGTTTCCTCGGGGGATGACCAAAAAAGCCACCGATTGTTCTTAACCCCGAAACCGATCAGTGCCTAAAACAAAAATCGTGGACTGAAAAGTTGTTTGTTTCTATCGTTTGGTGACGCATGATGTCATTTTCAAAGCAATCTATGGTTATACAAGGCGGTCATGTGGAGGCAAAACATGCAAATTATGATCTTCTAGAACTGAAGGCCCCAATCTATCAGAGTGATAGGCAGGGCATCCTATGCAACCAACTTATAAGAAACGCGCAAAAATCATCAACCAATTCTGCAACTACCCTGCATCATTCCGACATCTTTATCGACCGTATGTTAGCAAAAACTTCCCAAGAGTAAAGAAAGAATATGTCCGTTTTTGTAGAAAGATTGATGGTGAAGCTTGTTGATGGGCAATGATAGAAAAAGTTTCAATAATTAACGTTTGGTCATTCAGTTTCCAAAACGCACCTCGACAATCAACCATTGGAAAAGTAGAGTTCGGCTGATAGATGGAACAAGACAATGTTGGATCTGGACATTCTGCTTTGAGTTCAACTGGGCATGGTGTCAGTGGGCAGCTATGGATGAAAAGTTGTGAAAGGGGGGAAATTAAGAAGAAAACAACAACTCACCCACAACAACATCGATTTTCTATCACGGCATAAATGCTGCGAAAAAAGTAGACAGTGACGAAAATCACCAACGAGGGCAGCATAATCCGATGGCACTGTGTTACATATCATAAGGCACTTAACAGCATTGTATGTGCAATGTCCAAACCTAGAGCGTCTATATGTGTGAGAACACACACCGGAACCTGTTTTAGTCGGCAAATCGAACGTTCGCTCTCTCTGCGATCGCTTACTTTAAAGATATCTTTTTATGAGCGAGAACGCATGCCCTTGGCCTTGCGCATTCGCATGGCGAGATTTGCACCCAAATTGTCATATATCCCACTATTTTAGGACGCAGCAACACCAAAATTGAAGGTGAGTGGAGTTAGGATGACATAGCTGGTACAAAGTGTAATGTTGAAACACTATGTGTTCTGGAAAAAACATAAATGAAATTCGTTATTGTGCGCATAAGTACCCCTCAAGCATCCTCAAACACATTACAAACAAGTTGGCACAAGACTGACATGCTCAAACGCGGTAATGTGCAAACGGGCGAAATGGAAATTCACCTAAACAAACAACGGGCAGCAGTTCGTAATCATGGCCTGTCTATGCATGACAACAGATTTGGCGCTTGGATGCAAAGTGGGAGTACGGAAGTCACAGGAGATTTGAATGGATGAGGAACAGTTTATCCGTTTCCTTTCCCTCACTACTAAGTGACGGACAAATTACTCCTTTACAACCACATCCAGTACTAATGGAGCTCGTTAAGTACAACGTCCAATCTTTTGTAATTCAATGTATAAACTGCAACACACACACCACATCAGTGATTGCAGGTGTCTGTTGAGCTGTTTACCCTTTTTTGCGTGCATGTAAGTCCTGTAATCTCCCGACGGAAGGAACTTATCAAAGATATATATAATTATATTATTTATCTCTGATAGCTTTGTTTGCATTGATCGTGTTCTACCAACCAGATTCAACTCCGTGTTAAGATAGCTTTAGCAATTACGCAGTATTGGTACTGAAATTGGAGCAAATTATAGGAAACTGTGAGAAATAAAGGAAAAAAGACATATGGATAATAAAGGCTTGTAGACCTTCGCATAATGTTCCATATACAAATTAGCGAATTTTTCCACTATGGTATCATCACTGGTGAAGAGAGAGTTCATCAAGGAATATAGAACGTTTATTCGGTAAACGTTTTGGTCAAGTTGCCCTCTTCAAAGCCGTTGAATGTCAAACAATTCAGAAATACTCATCAATTTTTACACTATCTTATATATAAAGTTGAATGTGTGTATGTATGTCTGTATGTACCAGTGGCGTACCGAGGGGGGGGGGGCGGGGGGGGGGGCGCGCGCCCCCCCCGAGAATGGGTCGCGAAATTTTTGAAAGTTACTTATATGGGTTATAAAAATGTGCAACTGACTTGTTTATTTTTGTAAATAATTAAAATAATTTTTAAAAATTTTTAAAAAATCAAATTAGCCTTGTAAAAAAATTTTTTTCGGGGGCGTGGCTAACGCCACGCCCCCTTTTTCCAGATTTTAGGGGTCGGGGACCCGCAAAAGTTTTGAGAAGCACCCCAAAAATTTTTTCGGAGTGCGTGGCTAACGCCACGCACCTTCTTTAGAAAAAATTTTTTGTCGCGCCCCCCCCGAGCCGAAATCCTGGGTACGCCACTGGTATGTACGTATGTGCGGAATAGAAATTTTTACTTCTGAACCGATCGGGACCAAACTCTGCACACATATAATTCGGGGCGGGGAGCGTGGGGGTGATCAGCATGCTCGATTACCCCCCTGTGCAAAATCCCAGCCCCCTAGCTCAAAATTTGCAAAAAATCGGTAAAATCGACATCGATCGATAACGAATAGTAGACTATGACACGCTCCCTGCCCCGAAGTGTATGTGTGCAAAGTTTGGTCCCGGGCGGAGCCGGGTAAGCCAGCTAGTGTTCTCATAAAATCCAATGTTATGTGAATCACCACTACAGATCACAAGTTGCTAAAAACGCCGAGACTGCTCTATATTTCACTTACCTAGCAACTCGAGGCGAAGATTCTTGCAAAGGGACAACTTGGCACCTGTGTTAGCTGCGACTTTTATGGTCAAGAAAGACCACCTTATTTTCAGAGTGAGCATACAGATTCAGCGCCTCCTTTTGCCGTGTTCTGCCTCTTTGCTGAAATAGCGCAGAGAGCAGGTTTAAGCATGACGTGCTGTGGTATGAGTACACTTTGATTCATCGGGATTGGCGGGTGGAAGGCGACCGCTTGCACCCGCGGCGCGGTCTTCGTCTCTCTCGAGAGCGCGCTCTTTGATCATCCCCTAGCCTTGCCTAGGAATCGAAACCCTTCCTTCCAGCCACCAATCCCGATGAAACAAAGGGTACAAGGTGTCCCAAAATTATGCATCGAAAGTTTGATCTGTTTCTATTGTATGAAAACTTTTGACTTTTTTCAATGCACCATACTGAGGAGCTGGCATTAACTTAGATTTACAGTATGTAGCAAACCATCGACCGCTCTTCATTGCTATAAGACGGTAGGAATTGCGAAGAAGGTTTGGAGAGATTGAGGGTCATCTTAGAAAGCAAATCAAGCAGCCTGAAAATTCTTAATCTAGGCTAATCAGAGAAGCTGACACTAGATATGAACTACTTTACTGCAATCGTTAAGTTATGGCAAGCAACCGCAATAGCATTTTACAAGGCTCTTTGAACCTGTGATTATACTACGAATTCGTAAAAAGTTAAGTAATGAAATCAGCACCCCTAAAAATCCTGGTATACATCTTTTCAGATATTTTGAAATTTTCAAACACATCTAATCGCATTGACTCCGTAAGCTGAAAGTTTATCGCAATCTTACAGGGTGGAGAGTGATGGTGTGATTCGCTCTATACTGTGATTCTAACTTCAGCTCCACAACAATGTGTTTAGAAGCAGGCGAGAGCTTTTCATAAACAAGAGTTATTACAGACTTAACGTTTACTACGTTATTTTGGGACATCCCCATGCAAGTCGACTGACTCAAGGAAGCTAACAAAGCTTGCCTTCTGTATAACACGAGCTACCATACTACCCACAGATTACAGTCCTAGGCAATACTAAAAATGCGGAAAAGCCACATTTACGTTGGATGCTCAAATTGTAATCCAATCGCGTGTTCGCTTACAATAATGACGCGACTAGCAATCACTACAAAATGATAATTTATCCAAGTGGAAGAAGTAAGATGTATAAAGGATCCGGCGGAAATAATTCAGAAGTACGCGTGAAATGAGCAATACATTTTCCCAAAAAATGGAGAAGCAGAAAAGCGCTCTTCACAACAAGCATACATAGACTACAACCAAGATCGCTGTACTGCAGCAGCTTACTTGAACTAAACAAACTCAGTAAGGAAAATCGCGGTCAAGAAACTGGGAGCATGTGAAGAGGAGATCGAGTACTTGCAAGCTACAGTGATAAGCTGGAAAGTTTACGCTTCGGGAGCGAGCCTCTCCACCGTGGATACTGCTCTGTGACAGTTTGCGCCTGCCGCCACGACTTGAGCCGTAGGATCCCGCAGCGACTCTGCCTCTCAGCTTTGAGAGGGAGGGGAGGGGGGAGGGACTGTTCCCAGATTGGGAGGTACCTGGCTCTGTAATGTAATAGTAGACCCCCTAACTAAGCGAACAGAGCAGCGCGAAAGGTTGTCTATGAAGTCTACAAATCGCCTCTCAAGTGGCCCGAATCTTACGGTAGGCCGAACGCAGCCCACAGATCAATTTCGAACTGCAAGATCAGAGCAAGCATAGCGCACACAGTCATGAGTGCAGGATCCCACAACGACTCTGCGTCTCTACCTTGCATGCATCTCGTACGCGCCCGAGCCTTGGGGGGCAATTTGTAGACTTCATAGACCCCCTTTCGAGCTGCCAACTTCTGCCATCGCTTAGTTAGGGGGTCTACTATTACATTAATGCCAGAACCAGGTACCTCCCCCCCCCCAATCTGTTGGGACGCTGCCTTTTAAGATTCAAATTGTGAGGCTTCAACTGTCCTCGCTGTTTCTGACGTGGATCTTCATACTCAGCGTTAGAGATCGAGTCTTCCTCGAACACTGCCTCTAAACAAATTTCCTGGGAGAAACAAAACTGAGTAAACAAAGTAAACAAATTTCCAATACAATTCAACTTTCTGAAATATATCATCTGTAATCTTTGGCAAAATAACTCGAGGAAAGGAAGGTGCAAAAAAGGCGTCATCGCTTTTCCAGCCACATGTGAGGAAGACGATTGAGCGTCACTGTTATTTGCACATCATATTTGAAATTACATTGTGCAGGCTTTCACCCTATCGAAACAGCTCAGACTCTGCATACTCTTACTTTAGGTTCAGGATTCTTTTTGTTGAAGTAAAAGTTTCTGGGATGTCTCAAAGAATCTGAAACAATCAGTCGAAGACATAAAGATTCCAAGAAAAATCGACTTGCAGTAAAGGGTCGTCGTCTCCTCAGATTGTGAAAAGTTGAACATTTGATAAAACGTCTGTTCGGCCGTTGGTCGCCTGGAAAATATATTAAGGAAGGAGTTTGCAAAAAAATTGTGATGAAAAGTCACACATGGACCGTGCTTACCACAGTGGGGTCTGAACCTCCATAATTCTCATTATTGCTGAACATCCTGCACTGTTTGAATCAAACGTATCCTATGAGCAGTGATTTACGGTCGCGATGTGAAAACCTAGCTGATGTGTCTCGAAACCCGCATAAACGCAAAAGATAGGACTAAGTTCGCGTGGAGACCACAAGCTATCTGTCACGCGGAAGGCATGAATTGTGTGCTGAAAGACAGTCATCATTTGTTGTGTGTTCTTATCTCTTATATGAAGCTGGATGTCTGTTCGTGTGTATGTGTGCGTCTGTACGTAGTTTCCGAATAGAAATTTTGATTTCTGAACCGATTCAAACAAGATTTTGCGGCATGCACCTCGGGGCGAGGCGGGTGTCATAGGCCATTTTTCGTTATTGAACGTTATCGATTTTATCAATTTTTGAAAAGTTTGAGCTCCGCGATTGGGAGTCCACACAGGAAGGTAGGTAAACTTGCTGAAGTATGAGTACAGTATAAGATTTCAGGTTTATCGACTACCTTTATCGATTTGATATTTTGCAAAGTTGGAGCTACGCGGCTGAATTGGCACAGGAGGGAGGGGTAAATGAGGCTAATTACGAAAGCATAGTAGGGGCAGGAAATCGGCATATACTGGGAAAGAACAGGGGATATTGTACAAAAATAGGGAATGTGATTTATATCATAGTGCATGACAGGGCCGGGCGAAGCCGTTTATGCCAGCAGTATAAATACAGTAAGTTGCTGTGAAATGTCTGTAGTTTCTACAATTACAAGAAACCCTAATTATCTTTTCTCCTCTCTCCTCACCTCATACAAGAAATTTCTCCGTAGAAAATGAATCCGGTCCTGAGATTGGTTCTTTTACTCAATTTCGTGTAATCCCATTAACTCGCTTTTTCTAATCATACTTTGTTTTTGACTCCCGTTATTTCATTGCTGAGAAGTCCATAAGATTGCTTATCACACACTGCAAAGCAGCATTGCAATTCTCAAGGTTTTAGCTATCAGTTTTTTAGCTGCGCAGTGAAGAATCGTTGAAGAAGAAGAAGCGGTCTAGAAGGAGAAGGCTACGATCTCATTACCTGTTATGGATTTTCAGTTGCGCAGCTAAGCTAAAAGCCGGCGCTCTCTTTCCTGGCTTTTTGAATATGAATCTCACTTGGTCATTCTCAGTGGTTATCGTAACCTTGTTGTACCAAAAGCTAACAAAGAACTTTTGTAATCACTTTTCCTTTATGACGCCAGGAGAACAAAAACTGCTGACGTTTCTTAACTGGCTGACATCCGTAATGTACAGGTCAAGCAAGGGGTGTGGCACACAATCGATGGTTACGACCCCCCCCCCTGATTGCTGTCTTAATAAGACCCCCCCCCCTTGAATTATATACCTAAAATAGCATTACCTGAAGGCCCTGGCAAACATAATGGGCAACATATTCATAATGATCATGTCAATTAACCCCTGTAGACAAAGTTTGAGAGAATTCTGAAGATTCAAAATACTAGGTTACGTAAGTGAAATGGTCATTTTCCAACATGATAACCTTTTCAAAAGTAAATTAACTATTCGTTTTTGCACTCAAGACAAACCACTACTCCTTCTTTGTCCATCTCAAATCCCGCTTCAAAAGACCTCCAAACTGTGAAATTAGAGGTCATCCAAAAGCACGTTCTTCCCATTGTGGCGGCCACAGCTTTTCAAGGGGGGTGCCACACCTCATTAACTATATCAAAAAATATTTTTAACGAACAATATTTATATGTCTCGATAGCATAGATCTCCTAGTTCTCACAGGAGTGATTTGAACCTGATTCGTTTTCTTTGCTCTGAGTAATAGTTGGTGAAAGCACAGCCATCAAAGGCGGAAAATGGGAAAAACGTGCTTTTGGATGACCTCTAATTCCACAGTTTGGAGGTCTTTTAAAGCGAGATTTTTGAGATGGACAAAGAAGGAGTAGTGCTTTATCTTGAGTGCAAAAACGGATAATTATTCACCTTTGAAACAAAGTTAACCATGTGAATGTGACCATTTCATTTAGGTAGCCTAATATCTTGAATCTTCAGAATTCGCTCAAACTTTGTCCTACAGGGGTTAAGACATGCTAATTATGGATATGATACGAATATCATGTTATCACTATTATCAGATTACCCAACTACTACTCCCTCCCCTTTTGACTCCTCAATACAACCCCCTAGGTGTGGCGTGCCACACCTCACGCTTAACCCTGGTAATGTATATGATCAACTTATAATATCAGCAGGACAACCTTCAAGATTTTTATGTGCATTCATAGCAATTCAGTACGATCCACGCGAGACGACGCATCAGAAATGGCTGAAGCGGAATGTGGCCCTTAAGGGACTTGGTTACAAACAGTTGTTGTGAACAGTGTGTTCTTTAAGTTGAGAGGGCCTTCTTTGCGGGTGTTTTCTGAATGTTGCTTTGGTCAACTCGGCTTGTCGATACCATGCTATATCAGGGGTATATGTGTAATCTTTGTTAACATTTTTTTTCTCACTCTGAGAGATCCTATCATTTTCCTAACAGCTAACCTTGGCAATCATCAGAGTAAAGCGGGGGGTGCGGCACGCCGCAGGGGGGGGGGGGTTGTAAGGGGGGGGGGGGTAGGTAGGGGGGGGGGTCGTATCGACCCAAGGTCAAAAGCGGTTTCTAAGGGGAAATGACTGCAGCTAAGTTCTTAGATGTGCCACGCTGTTGAAATCCTGCAAAATTCAAGTTCAACGACACAAACTTGCAGATACCGTATGCCTACCGTAACCTACCGTACCTCTAATCAAGCATAATGTTCGTAATCCGCGTGTCGAATAACCCCTATGCGCCAAGTTTCAGCGAACTCTGAGGTCTCCGAGCAGTAAACAACTTTGTATAAAGCAGTAAATTAAAACATGATTAACTTCATCTTAACGGTGAGTAAGCTACCTCTTCTTGCACTCAATACAAAGCACTACTCCTTCTTTGTCCACCTCAGGAATCCCGCTCCAGAAGACCTCCAAACTATTGAATTAGAAGCCAACCAAAATCGCTTTTAGCTTTTGATCGCTGTGCTTTCACCAAATATTACTTAGAGCTAAGAAGACGAATCAGGCTCAAAACATCCCTATGGAATCTACGAGGTTTAGGCTATTGATTCATATAAATATTGTCCGCTAAAAATGTTTTTTTGATATAGTTAATGGCTTGCGGCACCCCCCCCCCCCTCAAAACCTGCGGCTGCCGCAGGTCTTGACGGGGGGGGGGGGGGGAGGGGTGCCGCAGGCCATTAACTTACCTTCAAAACGCTCAAACGAAACCCTTTTTTTACACTATTCTATTGAGCCATCCTTCTCCTCTTCGTAGTAGCATTTGCCCCCCCCCCCAAGCGCGCCCTCTTAGTAGAGATACGGTGGGTTTTCTGAACCCTATTCACTGAAGCACCTAGTCCGACAACGGCCGAAAATATTGGTGTACGGTAGGATTCCAAAAACTGCCACCACACCAAGGGCGGAAGACAAGACAGTTTGAAATTCGCATCAATTTTCATACCGTGTTTCTATCTTCCTATGATTTCTATGTTTCTCTGTTTCTGTTTCTATCCTCTTTTATTGCAGTGTCTGTCTATTGTCTGTTTGTCTTTTTATCATTCAGTCGTTTCATGTACAGGGTAAATGCAGAGCTAAGCGTGGTCGCTGTTTCAGATCCATGCTTGTTTGCCTCTATATTTAGATCTGTCATGTCAGTGACGTATTTTGAACTTTGCAGAAAGGAAGATACAATTTAAAACACCTTTCACTCTTCAATCACTGACTACTTGCAGATGTTTGGACCACAGAGATCTGTTCCCGGTACCCATATTTTGTCTTGGTCATCCGCATTTTCACATGACATGCTGTAACTACTCATTCTGTGATGAGGAAATATTTATGAATGTTGGTCATTCTAACACTACATGCTTCGTAAGATTTTTGAGTAATTTATTTAGGCCATTGGACGGATATGTGCTTTTTATGCCCGCAAAATTAAGTTCCTCCAACAGACTTTGCCTTAGGGATAAGGTACGTACACTAATTTGTAGTAAGTTGTTGTAGGCAATGGTTGTAAATGTGTATCGGTAGTGAGAAATTCGAAGTTTAGGCATGCGATGAAATGCTGGCACAACGAGTTGAGACTAAGCTACACTCAAAGGCAGCATCTGTAGAGGACAGGTACTTAGCCGAGTTTTTGTTGCATTCCTGACTCCTAGAGACGATAAAGTGAGTTTGTATGTTCAGTGGCTGCGACTGAAAGAATTATTTTGAGGTTCGTGCACCTTTTATCCCTCCTGCTGTGTTGCAGCGAAAGCAACGCATGCAAGTTGACAACAGCTCAAGGCGTGATGAAAGTGAGTTTTTTCTCTTACTTCACATTTTTACCGAGCAATCATTATTACCAACCACTATCAAGATACACGGAAGCTTGAACGTCAGTTGGAACTAGAATTGGAAGACGAGTATATCTTGTGGATCTCAAGAAACACTATCTCTTCAAGAATCCAGAGGAGAAGTATGATACTGTTCCTGAGATCTGGGAGGGACACAATATAGCTGATTTTGTTGATCCGGAAATTGAGAAGGTACGTATGTTGCTGAGTTGGGGAGTCAACCCCATATTGATCTTTTAGAAACTGGCTGATCTGCTAGCTGAAGAGGAATTGCGTGAGAAGGCGGGAGAATACGACTCTGATTTGGATAGCGATGATGAAGAAACTAAAGAAAAACTGGAACTAGCCAAGCAGATTAGAGAGAAAGAGAAATTGATGGCATTAGAAAATCACATGAATAAGTCAAAAGCGGTCTGTTTCAGGATTTCAATTGCTAGGTATATTGTACTTTGTACGATTTACTCGGATTCTAGGAAAGCCAAGTTTCGCGATTGAGTGTACGTAAGCAAGAAAGATCTATGGGTCGATTGGAGGAGCAGATGCAAGAACTAGGCGTAGAAGTGAATCTCATTCCATTTTGAATTTCTTGCTTGTTTTTTTTACTCATTTGGTTGTTCTGTGAAGTCTACAACTTTTCTGTGAACACTACAAAAATTCAGTCTAATATTCAGACAGTTGCTGTAGTGGGCCCTTTGCCCAGCTGAACTTTCTTATTGAGCGCGGTACCTAAATATCTGCTTTACATGCATTAAGCCCAGCAACGGCCCATGTGCGTGAGCTGGCGATCCGCGCACATAGTTGCTGTCATGCTGACGGTGGCCCGCACTCCTGTATGGGCTCTTGAACTCATCACTGGCGACCCGCGCTCTCATGCGGACGCCATGAATTTAACAGCAGCTTGCTTATCCACATGTTTAGTTAGAGTGTATGTCATGAGGTGTGATTTTGATTGCTAGCCGGTCATCAAATGATAAAATTTGTGTTCTACTGCGCACAGATGTAGTTTTGGGAAGATGTATTAGATTATCGCAGAGGTTGTATTCAAAACATGGATATTGACGCTCAAAAACCTCTAAAATGCAGCTCATACCAAAATCGTTAACATTTCACTCAGTTTTTCGTCAATCCGCGAAACTCAGCAAGTGGCATGCTAAACAGCTAGTGAGCCAGAGCACTTTGTTAGCTTTTTAACTGCATACCAGTGAACTGGACTTTTGAATTAATGACGTATCGTCGATTCGTTGACTGTACGGACTGGACATAACCGCGGAGCACGCGCCGCGAGGTAAAACGCTTGCTCCAATACAAACTCGCCATTGTTAAAATCGTGCTCTTGCAACATTTTGACCGCTCCGCGCGTGGTCCGCAGCGGTTGAGCAGTCCGTACGACCAACGAATCGACGATACATAGATATCGCACTGTTGACGCGTATTCTGATTAGTCCTCGTTGTAAGCGCAAAAGTTACGCCACGCAATAAGGAGTGCCATTGCAGCGTTTCTGGGGTGGCAGATTAGAGATTCTATTGGGAGTTGAGCTTTGATAGCGTCCCGTCTAATTTGACCTTTAATCCAAATATGTGAAACGGGTTTAGAGGTTTTTGAACTCTTCGAAGTTGTTCTCCGACATGTTGAGAGGTGAGCGCGCATGCATGTGCGACCCTTTTCGTAGATTTTGTTCGCGAAAAAGTTGCCAGATATTGGGTTTTGACGACCTTTACCCCCGGTGTGAGTACTAACCACTACATATGGTATTCCCGATAGAGTGGACTGAGTTCTGCAAAATTTCAGTCACACTTTGAATAGTTGTATAATAATAATAACCTGGGCGTTGGTTATGGGGTGGAGGGAGGGGTGGGGGCAGGGAATGGGGGGGGGGGGTCGTGCCGAGGTCCGGCCCAAGGGGGGGGTCGTATCCGGCGGTCGCGTGCCGCACCCTCCGCTTTACCCTGGCAATCATTGCTTTCTTCCACTCGTGCTCGAGAAAGTCAATCAAACCTCTGTCAGGAGTAGGAGGGACTTTTAGCACCGTGTTTGTGAGGTGATTGCTGTAACATTATCAGGTAAAGTGCGATAGAGTGGTGGAGGTAGTTAACCAGTCGCGACCGTGAGCCAACATCTGCTTTCTGGCAATAGCCCGCGTGGCAGAAGCCGACTATAGGGATGTTGGTGCTCTCCCTTCTGGTTACTTCCGCTAAAACGAACATGAATCAACAAAATGAGATGGGGAGTTCTTTAATGGCGCCATTATGGGAAAAAAACATAGAAAGAGAACAGCATGACGCGCGCAAGATGAAGGCAGTTTTGTATAGAGTTTCATCGATGTATCACTTGAACAGCCGCTTAGATTTGTGATCTTGCCTTGATATCCGGCAGCAGAGTTGGTGACTATAGCGCAGTGGCAGTGCGTACAGTCGACGGTCATCAAAATGTTCGGCCCTCACGTGCCCGCAAGTTTTGCGGCGACAAACAATCGTGAGCAGCTTGGACTTACTTAGACACGTCGTTGTGCCCTCGCTTTCTTTACATAAGATGTACAGGTTTATTACGGAAACAAGAGTGAGAATCAAATGGATGAGATCTTTCTCGCATGTGTAATTCCTTCGCAGGTGCAGGTACACTCACGGTGCCGATGATATCGACACCATGTGTGATATCTGCTGCCAAAGTATCGTAAAGGCCATGCAATAAGCATGACCTGTCGTGCTATAATATGTTTGTTGGCCAGATGTTTATTGACGTACATTGCCTATCATTGTCAGCATTCTACCAGCGCGCCTACGTGGGCAAGTCGTCTGCCTTAATAAACTTGGCAAGCTAGCATATTGTCCATACTTGGGATACTCAAAGGCAAAGCTACGCCCAAGGCAACGTCAAAGCACGTTAGCCTAAATAGGTACAACAGGGGTAAGCAAGGTTGGCAGTTGCCATTTTGACAGAAATGCTCCAAATTTCAGATTGTTCAAATCCCCAAACCATTTCCCGCTGTCAGGTCAAACAAGTTCTATTCACAGATACGGTGAGCTACGCGTATCCTCCTTCAAAAGCATCTTGAGCTGCAATTACTTGAACGCTGATGATTCGGACCCAACCGACGCAATACGCCCGACCCATCAACGATCAATGTTATTGGTACGCGCAATATGGAGGATGGCTGCATTGGCACACATCAGGGTACGAAACGACTTACTGTACCTTCGAATTCTTAACGGAATTGAGTGACTGAAAGGTCACGAGTGCGCTCGCCATATGTAAGTAAAAAACTCTACTTTAGTAATCATCAATAGTTTTCTTTGTTCAGTTCATGCCAACGAGTAACCGAGAGTTCCAAGCACGAAAATTCTGTGACGGTGTCCTGATCATCTGCCTGTCCCTAAATCTTGAATATGGCTAAAATTGCAATCTAGAAATGGACGTTCTTCACTGTCAGTGCGGAGAAGCAAGTCAGCCCCAGTCCTTCTGCCAAGCTTTCAGTAAACTTATTCCTTCACACACTCAACACCAAACATTCGACGGAAACCGTCCTATAGGGGCCTGCAAGATCGCGAGGGTCGGACGTGCGGCCATTGCGCCGCGCACTTCCGATGTCACTAAGGCAGGTGCCAGACTTATCCGCTTCAGCCGGTTCGTTCGATTCATAGATCAATTCACTACACTGTCCAACAGCAAAGGTGGTGAACCGAACCTGTTCAACACGATAAGTCTGGCACCTACCTGAATCGTTGGACGCACATCTGACGTGTCCGGCACAATGGCCGTACGCACGTCAGACTCTCGCGATCCTGCAGGCCCCCATACCTCTAGTATCATGAATTTCTGAAAAGTCGGTTCAAAATTCCGATAGGGCTCAATACCGAAGTATAATGCATACAAAGTGAGAACATGTTCCGAAGACCATCAACCGGCTTTTCGAAGATGCACTTGGAGCGCACAAAAACTGTTGTTTTAACCAGTATTTTCGATGACACATGATAAATTGGTTTGAAGCAGGCTTTATAGTGAACTGTGCAACGCAGCGAAAAATGTGATTTGCAAGAGCGGGGTCATCGATCGACTGGATTTCATTACCGCTGCTAAGCATACTGGAAGAGCAGTGTGCACTTGCTTGAAAGAAAACCTTGCAAGCAAAAAAATGTAGAAGCTCTATTTTCACCTTCAGGCAGGCTAGAAATGAATCGCATGATGGTGCTTTCAATACAAAATGCGAGATTTGCGTACCCGAATGAAACAACGGCTGAGAAAACCTTACAAGCCTTGTGAATCTCGACAAAGGATCCAACTACGAATAATACGAATGAATTACTATTACCTCCGACTTCCTCCTGTTCGCTATGCTAACTGTGGATCACGACTATGTGCATGTAATTTGTTTACTAAATTCGTCAGAATCGCCACTCAAGGTGCAGAAATCTCGCATAACGGCAGTTTATAGAGGAATAGCTGTTTCCGGTTTGGAAACTTAACGAGATCTGGCATGAGGAGAACAAAATGTGATTCTTGGCGGCTTCGTTCCGCAGATTACGGTTTTGAAGGCACCGTCCAACCTAAGTTGAGGGTGTTGAGCTTTTGGCAGCATAGTAGAGCCCCCTATGACAATGCCCAAGTCACGGCGCAAAATGCCGCTTCGGAAGCGAGAAAATCGCTTCAGAATAGCGAAGATGCGCGAGGACCCCCATTCATGCCCACCCTCCCCCATCCATGCCCGCCCATTTGTGCGCGCCCATCCAATCACCGTTCCGAAAAGCCGGCCTGTGGGTCCTCCGGAACGGGAATTGTCGGAGTTTTCGCGCATTCTCGACTTCGTACTCGGAATCAGGGTCATGAGAAGGCCCTGAAGCAACAAAAACGTGGAAGTCGAAAATCTGGGTGGACGGTGCCTTTAATAGTTTTCTTTTTTGAAAGATGAATGGCATTGAGACGTTAGGCTCTATGAATATAAGACAACAAATCTATTCGGTTTAGAATCAGCACGAAAAGATGTGTACCTGCACTGAGAATTTTGTGCTTTCACTTCAATTTAACATCAAGGTATCTTCCCTTGTAAAATTTTTTGTAGATAACTTCGAATTTGTAGTGAAGCTGACCGGCTACACAGAGTGCAACTCCTTCACCAGGGCTCGGCATGAGGTGGCTTCCCGATATTGCAAAAAGCGAAGTCCCCTTTGACTTCACAGTAAAAGTACGACATCCGCCATGAGATTTAGAAGCGAGAATACATGGAAAGGAACGGACAAAGCAAAATAAGAAAAACGCCAAAAAAAATCATCAAACAAACGCGATGAATTCGTATTCTCCGGATTAATGGCATAATGTATCCAGCGAACAGCACTATGCGTCGGGGCGCTGCCGTCGCCATTCAGAATTTTCAAGGGGATGTAACTAAGCGGGGAGGAGGGGATTTGAGGCGGTTTGAGAACCACTGTGTAGGGTTTGGGATTTAGATGAAGTATATGTAAAGAAAGTAGGAAAATTATGTGAAGGAGGAAAAATATATGACTCTTTTCTTTCCCCCACCTCGGGTGGCTTCCAGGTGGCTTGAAAGCCACCTAAATCCGAAAAAAGTTGGGCACGCCTTCAGTTCAC